TTTCTCCCCGGCGTGTGGGACCACAGCTAACAATTATCTCCGTATGCATTTCATTCTCGGCAATAGCCTAGCCTCCCCGGCGTATACGACCCATCTGCTGTCTCTAACATCAATCAATTCATTCATGGATGTAGAAGAGTGGACACAACTTCAGAAGTAATCACGACGAAAATTTTAACAAAATTACGTGATAACAACGAGGTACGAAAACAACAAGTAAACACAATGGATCCAAAAACACCAATTGATATGACACACCACACGTATATACAAACAGTACACACAAACTCGCAGTTCATGTCTTGATGGAATTCCTTTGAAGAATCGCAGGACTTACACCAGTACGCCTACAACCCTTCACAGGTTGACGATTGTAAGTTGTGGAACGTCCGGACACAAACAAGATTAACCAACAATTACAATAATTGGAACTCACACAATTATTTAACACAAACATATGTACAATCAACACATCAAAATGGTGGATTCTGCCCTGACGAACTACCCTCGAAGAACTGTAGGACTTACAGCAGTACGCCTACATTCCTTCTCAGGTTGATGATCCAAGTGGAAGTCGTCCGAACACAAACAGAATTAACAACAGCTAGATGACAGATGATATCAATTCAGTATATACAATATGAACATATGTACAAAATCACACACCAGGCACATTGGGCTGCTCACTGATGCGCTACCCTTTGAAGAATTGTAGGACTTACAGCAGTACGCCTACATTCCTTCTCAGGTTGATGATCCAAGTGGAAGTCGTCCGGACACAAACAGAATTACCAACAGCTAGATGACAGATGATATCAATTCAGTATATACAATATGAACATATGTACAAAATCACACACCAAGCACATTGGACTGCTCATTGATGCGCTACCCTTTGAAGAATTGTAGGACTTACAGCAGTACGCCTACAACCCTTCTCAGGTTGACGCCCTAGGTTGGAAAATCGTTGCAGAGTTCATTTGCTGACTTCCTTCTATCAGCTATATCCTCAAATCTGAACGGTAACACGCTCATGTCATTGTATCGTAGAATATAGATGACGAACAAACACACGACGTATCTGGTCAACCAAGCGTAGAAACAGAGTAATTTACACCAAAGATAATAACATTCAAATAGTAACTTGAAACTAGAAATGCCTTTATTCATGCAAGTCAATTTAACAATTACTCTCTCGTTTACACTTGGCTTATCCTCACTAAACTGAACAATATCTTTCGTCCTTTCAAATGCACCAATACTATTATAGTCATTGCACAAGATACTTGAGTTGATGGGCGACTGTTTCATTGTGGATGACAACACCAACGACGACCGATTGATACCAGTTGATGAAGTTAGCGGTGGATCAGAAGCTGTTGTTGCTCGACTTTCAGAAAGTTGTCTACCTGCAAGACCACCACCACTGCTGTCTTTTACTATCAGCTCAGGTTTAGCACTAGCATCTGATGATAGGTGGGCTACATGCTGATCACTCACACTGACGGTCTCACAAGTATGCATGCCTTCTGCAACTGCATCTGCATTTATTTCTACTTCACGTTCAAGTTGTACAGAACCTTTGTTCAACTTAGCAGTAGTAGGCATATCCCTCATCTCATCATGATCAACCAAAGACAAATCTGAAGTATCATGATCATTATCACAAATATTCAATTTACCGTCAACTTCATCATTTTCAAACTCTTTAATAACAGAAGTAGACAATTTTGGTTCCTCCTCACAAATCCTAAAAGGTTTTATAACTTCACTCTGACTAGTAATACCTTGTAAACTTGTAGGGTCAGAACTGCACTCTGAAGCAGTAACTCTATTCTGTGACACTCTATTCAACAATGGCTTACCAGTTGCAACTACAGACTTCTTGACCGCACCGTTATCGTCACACAATTCGGAGTCAGGCCTGGAGTTTACATTTAGCTTATCACTGAACTTGCTCACTGGTTCACAGTTCACTACTGTATGCACCTCTTGCAAACGTGTAAAACACAACCGTGTTTGTCTTGCATCTTGTAACTTATCTGTTGAGGATGTACTACGAAACCTGTTACACTCACTAGGTCTATATGCATTACTAGACATCATGGAGCCTTCTCGATATCCACCTCTCTGAGGCCTACTCGTCATCAATGATTGCATTTTACCCTCAGACTGCTCTATTCTAGGGGTGAGATTCAATATACTGGCAAACTTGCTCATAGATTGATTGACACTATTTTTTACTAGTTTCAGGATATCATCAAATTTTGGCTCGATACCCTCATCCTCCATACGGGAGCTTATCTTCACCCACTTCCTTTGCAGTCGAGTAGGTAGGCGTCTTGCTATTACTTCTAGTATAAAACTCGAGTTGAGGTCACTCATGCAATTCATCGAAATCAAGGTATTCTTATAAGTCATAAGATTATCTAAAAACTCAGTAAGTGCCTTGGAGTCATCTTGAAGTTGACTGCCGTTACCTTTGACAGCTTCGTATACGTTCCTTACAATCATTGAAGGTCTTCCAAACCTTTGACGTAATATGCTCATAGCCTCAGCGTATCCCTCATTAGGAGGCATGAGCTTACAGCACTGTATAGCTCTTGAAGCATCTCCAGTGCAATACCTCATCAAATACATCAATTTCAATTCATCACTTAATAAAAAGCTACTCAGCATGATCTCAAACTCCTTTACAAATTGTAAATAATCAGCCGGGTTTCCATCAAAACACCGTGGTTCAAATTTAGGGAGTTTGATGTTCCTATTATCCCTGAACGGCGAAACAGTAACATCAACCATGTCATGCTTAACATCAGACACATCGTTACAATTAACAGACAAGTCACCATGACTTACTTTCCTGTTTGCATCCAAGACACTCTGTCCCTTCTTTGACCCAGGCATTGTTGAACTTGACCCAATTCCAAAAAGTTCCAGATATTGCTTGTTCAAAGAGGACTTGACCGGCACCAGGAAAGATGAACGGTGACTATCCAAACTTTCACCAACTGTCTGAATCCGCCAGAATCTGTTTCTACTGTCAGAAACTGTCAGCCACGTCTCGTAAACCGTTAATGCCCAGCTCTTGCTACGCTCGGGCTCACGCTGTCGCTTGAAGTTTCTCAGAAACGCTTAGTAATAACGGACGAAAAAACCAAAACACCAATTGTTGACTCGAGGATTCTTTATTGTTACACCAACATATAAATCACGTATGACTAAGGTCTGTGAACAAATATTACAATAATAAATCACAATATTACTTCTGATGGTTTACTGCTGACTTCTTTCTGAACAGCGACCGATGAGACGATGACTGTCGTATTGATGCCTCCGCGAAAATTGGGGGAGTTGGTTTGAGCAAACAACCATGAATTGATCGTTCAATCTTCAACTGCATTGACATGGGCGGTGGCCAGTGGTATGACTTCCAACCTGAAAAGATGCAAAGTAGTGAAACCTATGGGCTGCAGAATGCAAGCTACACCCTGTGCAATGGAAACTTGTCCTACACTAGGTCGTAGTGTGAATTTGGTCTAGTTCCAAATGAGAAAATGTACACAAGCGTGAATTACAAGAGGAATGTAGCGAGCGAATATACTACCATATACTTTACACACATACAACGAAGTAGACTCACTCCTGAGCTCTTTCTAATGTTGTAGAACAAATAAATCAAACCAGACCTTGAAGTGCACATTATCGTTGCAACGCAACTGCTCACAGTAAACACAATCTTTTTGTAAGGCGACATGAGACTGGTGGCAAATAGGATGAAGGATCTCTGAAAGAAACCATATGAGGAAGGGATAAAGCAAACGGGTCTCTTCACACTTAGCTGCAGTCAGCTTAAGGGCGACTTGATTACTGCCTATAGGATTGCAAATGACCAGAACCACCCAAACAAAGGTGTTTTGCAATTAAGAACATGTGGGCTTCGTCGTGGAAATCCCCGGAAGATAGCTCACCAGAGGGCAAGGACTCGAGTGCGCTTCCACTTCTTTTCACTGCGGGTTTGCCGTCCCTGGAACTCCTCACCGGCAGATGTAGCTACAACACCGTCTGTGTACAGGCTTAAAAGAAGCCTAGACAATCACGCAACGACAGAAGGACTGCGTCCAAACAGCCTATCCCTTTAAAATCTCATACACTGTTAATGCGTTAACACATAAACTCATAGTTTTACTTCTTTACACTCTCTCTCTTGTCTTACTTTCCTGACTACTCCAACTACTACATTTACAGTTATTATTACTACTATTATATACATATGGATTTACATATATATATATATATATATATATCAACTTCAAATTTAATAAGCTGTCTGTTTTTACGTTTTCTTTATTTCTTTCTCTGTCTTTTAGTCTGCTGAACCTACACTAATTATATCCGTTGTTATTATCCGTTCTCTTTTCTCAACGACATTGAAGGACCAACTGATGAAAGGATCAACTCCATCCACAGTGACAACATACTCCTAACACACAGCACATTACAAAGATTTTATTAGTCCCACTTGCACTCATAAACCACGAGGCTAGACCTAGCTGAGAAGACAAAGCAGGAAAAAACTTTATCACTAAGGACGAACAATATGGTTAAAGATTTCAATCTTCAAACCGGGGCGCGAAAGTATTGTTCTTATAAAATGTACTGAAAATAACGCGGGACAGTGCGTGATGATGAAAACGTTTGTCTCAGGGTTTTTAACAACACATTTCTACTGAAACAACGAAGGGTATTACAGTGTCGGCCCACCTGTAAACAGGTAATGTTTTATTTGTCATCCTTCAAGCTCACACTGACTAATGAAACGTGTAGATGAATGCACGCTGATAGCGCCGACTTTTGCAAAGCTAAGTAGGGCCATACCTCATGTAATTTCCCTGACAAAAATCACTGCATATGAGCCTCTTCAGCACTTCAGGTATTGATTAATTGTGAAGGCTAACTTGATTCCTGGGTTAGAAGTAAGATTTTAATTCAACTTCACAAAACCGTGAAATTGAACTTTGAACGACAGTTTTCAGTGCATACTTAAATTATTGGGCTACCCCAGAGTTTAGCAAAGGCGTTTAAGACATTGCATGTGAGTATACGGTTTTAGGTATAATAAGGTTTATTCGCCACATTTCTCTCCCAAATAATTTTATTTCTAAAGAATTATAAAATTCAGAATATTCCTAGATATATGTTCATGGAATTTCTCACCTCCCATACCAGCGAATTTTGTCATAGCACTACAATAAAACTAAAATAGCTTCTTTATCGCAAGACTCGGTTTTAACTTAATTTTTTGAATAAAAGCCACCCGAAGATCATTTCAATAAAAGTCCGCGTATGATTCACAATCGTTTGCATGCAAACGATTTCAATGTGCATATTAAAATTTTGTGGAGTACTGAGTTACGTGTCTCTGTTTCATGGAATACGGCAGTGATTTTGGAATTGTTTTGCTCCAAATTACTACACTAGTTTGCTTCCAGAGTCTTACGTTTGGGCGCGTCGACAATACGGAAGGCCAAGATGATCTGTCTTGTTCCAAAATGTGTTGTAATTGGATTTTTGATTGAAAAAGATTACGCATAGGAAATGCCTTCTCACGGACTGGATCAATTTTTCCAGCCATAAGTCATACCTAATAGGTGCCTCTTGTTGGCCATAATACTATCGAACATTGCAAATTCCGTCCAGATGGCACGACATGTTTTTGAAAGTATCGAGAAGTGTCCGCCCAAGTGTTCTACTTATACATAGAGAAGATTGCAGATTTTCACAAAAGTGTGCATCAACCGAGGGAATGATATTGTCCGCCAGATCTTTCGCTAAAAGACAACAAAATAATATTTAAGTTCGAATGTGGTCTGTTAAATAGGTCTTCGGGTGTGAAAGGTGCTCAAACCAAGGTCGAACAAAATACCTGTGAAATTTAGATTCTTTTACAGAATGGCCAACGACTGCAGCCCCTCACCTAATTCAGTAGTAGCAGGTCCATCGGTGAACGCTGTCAAAGAGAAACTAAATCTCTGTAGATATGTATTGATGTAGATATTCGTTGAAAGTCTCTTCGCTGAATCACTTGTTTTGATTTTCTAGATATGTATATCGCAAGGATCAACATAGGCAACAAGAGTCTTCAATCCTCATAATTTCAGTCAGGAAATAAGTGGTGGGTTTTCTAACTCTGCCATAACAGTACTGTTGGGAGTAAAATGTGATAGGTTTTTCTTATCAGTAAGCCACAATCTCTGGAATTCAGCACATTTTTTACAACTAATTTGCGAGCGAAGCATATCAGAATAATGTTGGCTTGCATCAATCCTTCTAATTTGATTCTAATCAGTAATGACAATACACGCAGTATGTACCCAGCATCATGTACACGTGATGCACCAAGTAATAGTCCGTACCTGTTGTATTTGAGACTGGTCCTCCATCAGTGTCCTATACTGTTTTGTCAGTGTCACTGTTCTTTGTACTGTATATTCTGCTGGTACTTTTGTGAAACAGCATACTTTAGTGGCAGATAAACGTCACGTAAGCATGTCACTTCGATTTCCAGTATGGCGCCCGAACAAAACTGGAATATTATTGCAAGAAATACGAAGTAAAGAACAGGAGAATAACAACTTGTGAGATTGTCTGACCAAAATTAAACATGTATGTCAGCATGATTCTAATAGCTCTTAAGTATGAGGACAATCTTAACGCTTCCAAAACCTCAGCTATGTAACCTACGTCCCCCCACACTCTTCAAACTACTGACCACGGAATCGGTAGATTCATGACATCTCTTAGTCCCACCACTCATAATTCTTGTTAGCCTTGTTATACTTCAGCTGTCATTGCTTATCGAACAATATAACTCGAATGTACAACGTTCTTCCCAGTTAGACATTTAGGGTCACCACATGCCAGATAGTATGACGCGAAAAAGCAGTAGCGCTAAACACCTTTCTTGATAATTGCTGTGAGTCCGTGATACGGCTGTTATGACTCTCGCCAACCTTGCACATGGCCCGGGGTTCAATCTCCAGCCGACACATGCCTGATATCTACGATGGGACTGCAAAATTTGGGATACCGATATTATATACTGAAAATTGCATACTTGTGCCGAAAATACGGTGTGGAATCAATCTGTAATAAAAAAACAGTCATAGAAATGTAAATGTCGTCAGCACTTGAACTTCAAAGAAAGCTCAACATAACCATCTGAATAAGATAAATGGGAATGCTTTAAACGGTTTTATTCGGAGTAGTGCCAACTTGATTTGATCATACAAACAGTGAAACTGGAATTAAGTGTATTTAGTTTAGTAAAGTGGTAAATAGGAACATTCTTGAGGATTTCCGGAAGTAATGCGCCTTAAAATCTAGAATAAGAGGAGTAGAACTCACTATTAGAAATTTGAAACACGGTAGTAAGTAAACCAATCTATTCGTGAATATTCTTCACATATTTTCAGGGGTTGTCAGGTTTTCGTCTTTTTGAACTATAGTATCAGTAGTTATTATCTGTTTTGTTACCCATATCTGGCTCTCAATGTTTGAGTTAACTATGCATCACTAGTCAAAATTAATTGACTTAGAAATATACAGCTTGACACTTTTGTTGGGCTTCAAATAATAAATTGGACAAAGCGAATTCCGACCAAGTCCTAATTCTTAAGGTCCTAGATGATACCAATACTTTAATCATCTTATTTGTAGGCACTCAAAATATTTTCATATTTTAATCATTCTGTCCTTATCGTGAAGTCCAATTCACCATTTATCTGAAACACAATCTGACGGACATCTCTAGGTATACCTCAGATTTTTGCCACTTTTTGGACAATCCTCTAAGTGAAGACAGTGGTTGAAACTTCTGTAACAAAAGCTATGCTGTCTGAGTAAATGTTCCCCTTTTGCTTAATAAGTATCCTTTTGGAAACTTGTTCATCTCATTCACCTCTAATGATACTAGGTGTGATTCCCCACATCTTTATTTTATCACTTTCATATTGATGTGATAATCTACTTTATTTCAGTTGAGTCTGATGCGCTTGAGTTCCTATCCATGTTTTATTCGTTTGGCGCAGAATTTACAAGTTCAATCATGTAAACTACTTTCTGTAAGTTATTCTTCCTTATTACTGATATTCAATATATAAAATCACTGGCTTTCATGAAGACTTGGTGGAACTTCTGCCAGTTTACGCTATTTCAAGTTTAGGGAGAAAGTTTTCCTGTTGGCCTAACTGATAGCCAGTTGGATTTCTAGCCATCCTGTCCTCCACCATAGTAATACTATGTATTTTTGCGTAATGTGATAGATATATCAAAAGTTATTATTTGGAAATACCCAACAGATTATATGAAATCCCTTCAAAAACGTCTTCCTATTATCATTTGTTACATTCATTTTTCTGATGACTGGGTTTTTAACTCAGAACAGCATCAGTTCAAGTTGCCTCACTTCACATAGCCCACAAAAGTATAAAAAATTCAGCGGAACTATAATGACAGGAAAGAGTGATAACGCAGAGAAACATGAGGATTTGATGTATCTGTGAGATTACAAAGAGCAGATGCATCCGAATCATTGAGAACACTTTTGAGCCTTATTGCCAACAGTATCACGCCACTGGTGCTTAATGTCTAAGGGCTCTTAGCTAGACAATCCACACCTTCCTGTGTGGTCAACAGTCGAAGACTTTTAAGACTGATTGATCTGAAAGTTAATAAAAGAATAACATGTGTAGTAATAATGTTGCTTATAATTTGCTGTTTATTTAAATTTTAAAAAGTTGGTTTATAACTCTTTTCTAATATTCATGTTGTCGCAAATAACCCGTGCTAAATACGGCATAGTTGAATTTTTATTTTTATATCTATCTACTCGAAGAGATACAAGGAGAAGCACCTTCAGATACACCAGCTTCTTTATACTCAGAACAGCACTTATCATTATGATCTGTGTGCCGTTTCCTACCTGAAAATTAGGGACACAACCACCTTGTAACCGAAGACTAAGTCAGGTTAAATTAGCTTGCTTAGCACAAAAACAATCAACTTTCATTCCCGTCTAAATTTAGTTTACTTTACCAGATTTGATCAGGAGTTGATATCAGTCAGAGAACGATTGGAAAACCTAGGAGTACTGCACGGCTGTTTCATCCTGCTTTTGGGTTCTTCATCACTTCACCCACCACACTTCCACCCAAAGACAGCAAAACTTTTCCCCTTATTTATAAACTGGGCTGATCAATGATCTACACCAGTATACTCCAACTAACTCGAATTAACATATACCAGTTAATACCTGTAGTGACTGAAACAATCGCCGAGAAGAATGAAACCGTCACAAATAATTCCTCAGGAAAGACAACTACAACATTTAGCAGAGCACTTTAGAGAAGATTTCAGTTGTGCTACAGATATATTACAACTGCCCTTTATTGAACTCTAACCTCAATGGAATGTATACATTGGTCCTCCAACTATATCCAGGATTGCAAATGCTGTCCTCTATCTGAAACGAGGCAAGCATGACCACCTCATAATATGACCTTCATAAGTGTTAATGGATGGTGGTGATAAATTCTTGAGTAGATCAACCAAGGTATTAGCTGGCGTATGTTAATTCGAGTTAGTTGGAGTAGGCTGGTGTAAATCGTTGATCATCCCGCTTTATAAGTGGATTGATTGTTTGAATAATAAGGCACCTATTTTTGTGATTAAATTAAGTGAGGATTGGAAGGGCCCAAACTGAATTTAGACGGAGACTAGTGCGTTTTTCTGGCATATCCAACCTCCGAATGTTTCTCGACATGGGCAGTGTTACGAATTTACAACACAGCATAGTTCCATGAACTGAAGGCGGCACTTATCTCCTTCTATCCTTCAGTGCTGTCATAATATCTGGTTGTTACGGTGTGACAAAATTGAAGTATTCGTGTCAGAGCTTATGGATAATCTTTGTGTAAACCTATGAAAAGCAATAGCGTCCCTGAAATTCCCGCTCTGTGTAATGATGAATTTGACTCCGACTGACCTCAAGGTTTTAGCGACTGGTTTGTTTGAAATCCTCACTGGTTTAGAGTATGCAAAAAACATAGCCTTCACAGATGAGGTTGTTAAGAAAATGTAAGACTCTGTGTTGGCGATCGCCAGTTGAGATAACTCTTCCTATCTTTGAAATGAGTACCAGAGGTGGTCACTTCCTCGGTATACGACTGCATTGTTGCCTTCAATTCTTTTAGCAATAAACTAATTTGATAAAATTTATCCTTTGCCTGAACTGTGTGTCGAAACAGAAGTGGGTAAAACGAAGCTGGAATTTGGAATTAATTGTTTGGTAGTTAACAGTTTACTCCAGTTATGTTTCTAAATGGACTACACGTGACACACAGTAACATATTACTTTCGAAATCGTGTATGTAGTTTGAGTATCTAGGTACATGATCCTTTCTTCGTTTTATTATTATTATTATTCTTTTGCTTATTGTCTATCCAACAGACAGGACAAAATTTACAACCAACAGTGGACAATGCAGCTCCCAACTGGATTTCTGTTTGTGGACATTCTACAGTAAAAGATTCATGGTCCAATTTAACTCCGCATATTACTGAGTTAACAAAACGATCATTGCATAATCAACAACATCATCCATTGAATTTAATTAAACAGCGTATTGTCGACTTCATATATAAGGTGAAAAATGTTAAAAGTTTTAATTATTAATATTTTTTAAATGAAGTGAAACTGTTTGAATTAATGGAGGAGATTTTCAACCAATGCTGATGGTGAGGAGAAGAATCGAAATTGTCTTATGTGTTGTCTGAGCTTTGGTTTGATTGTCACCAAGCCAACCACAGATGGATAGAATACATCCACGATGAAAAAATGATAAAGCTCAGACAATGTCAAACAATTTCCAAAACACCATGTAGATTTTTTTAGAGAATGTTTGTATAAATGCAAACTGATCACCAGACAGTAATTGTGTTAGTACTAATCAACGCTTTTTCATAGCGTTACGGTATGTAGGTGTCAGGTATTGGTTGTTAGTCATAAGGAAGTTTTAATATTCAGTGCCAAAGTTAATGCATTGACCATAATGTCTGTTATCATTAGATGGCTGAACCTAGATTTCGCACTTGTTGGCATTCACCAGTCAGTAAGGCGTCGTCTCTACAACCTAGAAGAAACTCTTGTCCCTTCTGAGATTTGAACTCCCGTCACCCAGTGAGTGCTGCAGTCAGAGACGTTACCACTAAGGAGCTATTCGCACTCGCGATTGACCTCCCGCAGGACTGTATTAGGTACATTGATTGGACACTAGCTAGCAACTAATGTAACGTGTCTAGTCTCCATTGTTTGGTACTGACTAAATTATTTTACTCAAGTTACTATTTGGTCATCCGTTTGTGTGTATATACTTCATAGTATTCACAATAGGAATACCAGTTGTTGACCGGGTTTAGGTAAATGTTAAACTTCTCAATTTCATGACTATGGAAATGCTAATGTATTTACATTACTTAATTAACGTGCATTTTGTTGGACTTTTAGCTGCTTCTCTCACACACACACACATCTAGTGCTCAAATGGCTTAAAACAGTTATAGTCAGGTAGTGCATCTCACATATTAGAAAAATCGTCCATTTTCTTACACTAAGTACCAAACACCATACTTTTTGGTGATCATATGTGTTAGCCACAAATTCATGGTTGGTGTGGAGACAAGGTTCAAACCAACTGACCGATCATCATCGGTGGCATGGCTACCACTCAGGCCAGTTAATTTCACCCTCAAAGTAACTGATACATTGTGATAGTAATAATGATCAATTGACAACCGCCTATTCTGTTCAGAATGATTTGTTTCAAGGTCGTTTTCATTAGTAGTCAGCGAGTAGAGGCTAGTGAACGGTTGTCTGTATCCGGCAGCGGGTATACCTACAACTTAATGTGAGATTAATTCAAGAAGCTTCAGTTACTTTTGAAGTTATATTTTCGTACAGTCATCTATTCAGTTCTCCAAAGTAAAATGATGTAATCAGATAGGGGGAATGTAGACATTGTTTTTATGGGCCATTCAACATTCAAAGAAAGAGGGAGATCGATTCGCTTTCCCTGGCATCGATTCTTGCTTGGTATGATCCACATTTGCCAATATTAACTATTTGTGACTATATGCTTCTTGAATATGTTTTGGTGGATATTCCAACACTATCGTCATCGTATATCAAAGAAGTATTCACCATTCTGTGTATCTCTTATTCATTTGTGTTTAATGTGTTTATTTGTGCTGTGAAATGATACAAGGCCTGAGTTACAGTCGAATGTAGAGCGCCCAAAACTGGTTCTCTTGAACTAATCCCTTGATCTTTAGTTTAAACTGCATGTGTTTTATAGCATTGAAAAACACGCAATCCTCGCACATTCTTGGTTGTTTAAGGGTAGAATGCTCGTTGACCACGCTTGTGGTTTGGGTTGGATTAGGGGTGGGTGGCGTACTCCTAATTCTCGCCTCCTTCACCAGATGGCATTTACCACTGTAAAGAAGAAAGGTCGGGCATGAGGCTGGCAACCTCACTGAGTGAAGAGAACACCCGTGCTATTGAAAATTCAAGCTTGAACATTGGAGCTCTTCCCCGGATGTTCCACTCGGCGAACTAATGATGTGGTCGCCTAAATACTCGGAAGTTCCAATTTTTTCCCACAGTTCAACCGGTGAATGAGACTGACAGGGATTAAGCCTTTATATTTAAGTGAAAATAATAGTTTTTTTATTTTTGAAATATCTCTGAGCTTATTTGTGTTTAACCGGTTTTTTTTATCAATATTATAATTTACCTTTTATACTCATCATTACTGATACAATTCGACTTCAAATCAAAACATAACGCTGTTATTAATAATCACACACTCCCTTCCTTCTCCCTCCCCATACATTTTAGCGTCATGTTCGTCATAAATGCGATGATGGTCATAATGGGACACCGCTATTCAGTCTATATGATCATCTATCACCAGTGGTAACAGTACGACAGAATTTCGACAGTCTTCTAATCCCACCAGATCATCCAAGTCGACTGCGTACAGATACTTATTATTTGAACGAGACAACCGTCCTACGTAGTCATACATCAGCGCATCAACTGGATTTACTCAGTTCCGGTTTAAATGCTTTTCTTGTTGTCGGTGATGTTTATCGACGTGATGATATCGATTCATTGCATTATCCTGTCTTTCATCAACTAGAAGGTGTTCGACTGTTCACATCAGATGAAGTAAGGGGAGAAGTTATTGTTCTCTTTTTTACCCCCCCCCCGTCTTCTTTCTTTTTCTCAATTAATCTCTGTAAATATTTTGATTTTATAGCTGCTTTTTTCCCTGAGATACATAATGTTGACTTCTGCTGTGCCTAAATGTATTGATCTCACTCCTCAAGTATTTTGTTTATGACTGGACTGGTTTCAAGATAGAACTTTGCACTGATGTGCACCAGTTCCAGCCATCACACTCCATGTAGCATACAAAGCAAGAGAAGAAAGTAAAGAGAAATGAAAAATAGAGACAGTAGACAGGGATATGAAGCAAAAAGAATAGTACCATCGAAGAACAATACAGTTTTATTTGGTATTTAAAGTCACAAGTAGTGGATGCGTCTGCGCCATCACTGAGAACGATGAGTTTGAGCCATATCACCAATTGTCTTCAGTCTTCATTGGTTTTTACCGTCGCGAGGACCACAACCAGGAATTCTACACCTTCCTACGTAGTAGTAATTTGTAGTTTCCAATGTCTTATAGACGAATTAGTTATTTAAAAGATAGTTAAAATGCTGTTTTGTCTAACGTCGACGAGTAAGATGTGCAGGTAGTCATCTCTTTCACGTACCTGACCGATCATCGTCATTCTGGATACAGATTCGGACAGCGCAGATATGAATGTCTCAAAGCCAGGATCAGAAAAGCAAGACAAACTGACTTATCCGAAATCAGCGTAGAAATGTGCTGTACTCAACATAAGGAACATGATTCTGGTCTTCAGTACCAGAGAATTAGGTACATGTCATGAAACGCATTTGCAATAATAGACTACTGCAAGCTTTTATCAACAGCTGTCTTCACACGATATTGAGGATCAGATGCTCCATCAGAAGGAATAAAAAACACGGAACACTGCTAACGAACTAATCGGGGACCTATCGCTCAACAAATCTACTGAAGGAAATATAGACCGGTTGGATACTCTCTGAGGAAACCGTTGAATAACATCACACAAGAGGGTCTTCAAGTGGAAAGTGAATGAGTCGGAGGGTGACACAGAGGAGAGCGTGTGTGCAATAAGTGAATGGTTATGAACAACCGTGGGGCCAGTTAGAAAAGACTAAAGAGAACGGAGTAAAATGAATATGTGCTGTCGAAGCCCTATGTTGCGCTGGGAACCCAAAGGGGAATGACAGTAATAATATGCACTCTATACATTTTACTAACCTATTGGATACTCAAGTGAAGTTTGTAAATTTAACTGTCACAAATCTATCCTGAAACATATGTCATAAAATGTTGAGTGTATTTAATTAAACTGCTGACTTTGCTTCAAAAACTGTCCGTAAGCTTCATTTATCACTGTACCAGTATATTCTGCATTACTATATAAATAACTTGAAATCAATTAATAATGCTAGCTAGTTAGTTACATCAAGATAATGTGTAAACATTAGACAGTCCTTCCTCTTGATCTATCTTCCCACCCCACCCCCTCCGTCAACTCATCCACAGCTGAATGAAATGTCCAAATCGTATCAACCCCAGCTGGATTGCATGCATCGATTTATGCTGCACAGTCTTGTCATTTACTCTATATCCAAAGTGAAAATCACACGGTTAGGTTAGGCGCGGTTGAATTTATGTGGTTTTATTCGTGAAAGATATAAAATACTCATATCTACATGTATTCTGTTCTTGTCATTCAAAAACTGTACAATATGTATGACTAATTCAGTATGAAGGGGGCTAGAAAGCACTATTGTGATTGGTGTCAGTGGTGTAAACATGTTAGGTGTCTAAAAAGAAAAACCTTAATGGAATTTGTCAACTGCTTCTCAGTTTGAAAAAAAGTGTAAAAACAATATCTGATCAGTCTGTCGGTAAATTGTGGTTCAGTTTAATTTCAGCTTATCTATAACCACTTCTGATTTTGAGGTAATCGAGTTTCAGTGTATTGTGGCTCGGAGGGAGGGAAATCAAAGTGAAAAGATGTTCAACTTTTGATTTTCAGGGATCTAATTGGTTACAGGATTTAATCATGAGCTGGTATCGGTTAGAGAACCATATGGAAAACCTGAGAGTGCTGTACAGATGTTTCTCTCAGATTTGCTACTTTTCACCGGTACGCACCTTCAGAGGTTTGAACCCAGGACATTCGGTTACAAGACTAGCTCTTAGACCATTAAGCCACTGTGAACCGATTCCATGGCCAGCCCATGAATTTCAACTTCTGCCAATTCACGAAATACCGCAACTACTAGCCAATGTCATCCTTTTGGTCAGCTTTTCTCGCCTGGGCATTACATCACCTGTGTGTCCCAGCATTTCACAAAAGTGGCGTACACACCATATATGCGCATACGTTAAAATCGCTGAATGCTTTGTAGTTATGCTTGCATTATTAAAATTACTGTAAGACAGTACCAACAGCGTCTGTCACTGGAGTGCAGACGCAGCCAGATGATGAGTCCCCAAATATGACGAAATGCATGTCCTACATTCTTCCACTTATAACCATCATCAACCATATAACATTGGCATTATTTTTCCAATTTAATTACTAATAAATTAATTGAATATATTTATGTCTATTGATCTGTCTCCTTCTTTGTAGTTATTTCGAAATGCTATTGATCCAAGTCATTGTCTTCGTCTATTCGAAGATATTCCATCCTCTTCACCGTATAATCAACCAGAGATTCATCCATTCAAAGTGTATCCATCATATACACTTCCGTGTGATAAACAACCAGGGCATACAACAGAGACAAAAATGCTACTGGAATTCGAATTGAAAACTGTACTACAAGAAATGGCTAAATTTTTATTTGGTTCAGGTAAATAATCTCTACATTGTGTTGCTGTTATTCAAATTCATTAGGTGGTGGGGTGGGACATAGGGCTTCAAGCTTTAAGAACTTTGAAGTTTCAGTAACTCTTGTGTTATTTTTACGGGATGAAGTTGCCAGCCTCACGTCAAACCTCTACTCTTTTACTGGCTTACCACGTGCGGTTTAGTAAAGTAGGCGAGTGAGGTTTAGGAGTGCATCGGCCAGGAGTCAAAGCCGAACTTCCCGCGTGGCTGTCGAGCGTGCCACCGTTGGATCGTTGAATATTATAAAACTGACATCAATTTCACAATTTGCTTATAACATCATCATCATCATTCTCTCCGCTGGGAATGCTTTGTTCGTCATTTTCTTTTCGTTTATTAATCTCTTCTCAGCATTGTCACTTTCTCGGGTTTCTTCAGACATCACCCGACATACTACTTATTTGTCTTTGTAAGTAATGCACTAAGATTCTGCTTTCAACGTAGTTATTCAGCAACAGCGGTTGATTTAACGGACGCATTACTGCGTGTATGAGAATCAAGTGTAGGTAGTTAGTGTGCTTTAGAACTATGATTCAGTGGTAGGAATACTCACCAGCCACACTGGCGGTCAAGGTCCGATTCCAGGCTGATGCACTTCTAAACTTCGTGTAGAGCTTACTAGTCGTCAGTAAACCCGAAAAGAGGTTAGGTTGGGTATGTGGCTAGCAACTCCACCCTGTAAAAATGACACCGCTATTGAAGCTTAGAGCCCACTATGTTCTAATCAAAACTAGAGAAACAAAGAAAACGAGTTATTGTACCTCAGAACTGTGGGGACATCTCCAGTGTACGAAGTGAAACAGGTTGAGACAGATGATATTTCATAAATTAATGTTTGATGCCTAGACACTTATACACATCAATGTTGATTGCGTAAATATACCTTCATGTATTATCAGTGACTTCCCCGTGCTGTGATTTTAACACCCCAGAGGACGGGGCAATTATATGACGTATCCCTTTTTTGAAGTGGCGCCACTAATTTATCCGGTGGTCTGTCTGTCTGGATTCAAAATAGAACTTGGCACCGAAGTGCAGCAGTTCGAGTTGCCACGTTCCAAATACCACACAAAGGTAGACAAGAAGATGAGTGAAGAGAATCAATAGAGTTTGACAAGTATAAGAGTGAAACAGAATGGGTAATGGTAGAAAGGAATATGAAAGATTACAGAGACTGAATACATCTCCGCTGGCCATTGACAACGATTTTGAGCCATGTCACCTATTGTCTCCAGCCATTGATTCCTAGAGTCCTGAGGGCCCCAACCCGGGAGTCTGCATCTCCCTACCTGACTCAGTTTAACTGTCAAGGATTTCATGGATTGATGAGGCCATGTTTTTGTTTGGCCACCACTGGCTCTTTTCCAACCTGCACCTATATCAGCTAGCAATGCCTGTCGGGGGAGGCGGTGGTTAGGCATGCGCAGCACGTGACCTAGCCATCTCAGTCTATGTAACTTTATAGCCTCGTCGATTGATTTTCCCTCTTTGCCCAACACTCTACGCCTAATGTCAACATTACGTACCTTGTGAAACCACCTAACGTGAGAAAGGGATCTCAGACATCTATGATCGAAAGCAGTCAACCTTTTCATGTCTTCAACGCGTATTGGCCATGTTTCAGAGCCATAGAGAAGGACGGAGCGAACTGATGAGCAGTACACACGTCCCTTGGTTGATAACCGGATGTCACGCCTACGCCAGAGATGGTGTAAGTCAGCGAAAGCAGCTCGAGCTTTTTGGATCCGTACTGATATTTCGTCGAGAATCAGTCCGTTGGTGCTGATACAACTTCCCAAATAGGTGAAGTGGTCAACATGTTCTATCACTTCACTCCCTATCACTAAGTTAGGAGTTGATGTGGTCCAGTCCTGTAGCAGCATCTTACATTTTGTAGGGGCGAATCGCATGCCAAACATACGAAGATTGCTGCTCAAGGTGTTCAGAAGACTGTGCATTTTTTCAGCATCCTCCCCTAACAGGACTATGTCATCTGCATATTCTAAGTCCATAAGACTATTCCCTGGTAACAAGTCGATTCCTAAGTCGTTACTTTCAGTTAAGGATACTTCCATCAGGATATCTATGATGAAGTTAAACAGAAATGGGGAGAGTGGACATCCCTGTCGGACACCACTGGTTGTTACCAATTCAGATGACAATTCCCCATAAGCCTTTACATGACTACGTGAGTTTGAATAGAGTGCCTTGATTAGTGCAATGTACTTTCTTGGCGCTCCCTTCACAGTCAGACATTGCCATAGTACCTTTCGATCCACGGAGTCGAAGGCCGCCTTCAAGTCAAGAAATATGACAATTGTTGGACGCCGAAAAGTGTGTCTATGTTCTAGAATCGGTCGAAGAGTGAAGATATGATCTATGCACCCTCTACCTGGTCTAAAGCCTGCTTGATTTTCCCTCGTCTGTTCCTCCCGAGTTCTGCTTAGTCTATGCATGATTACTGAGCCTAGGATTTTAGAGACTATGTTCGTTAGGCTGATCCCCCTATGATTATCACACGAGGACTTGTTTCCCTTCTTGAATATCGGTATAATAAGTGACTTACCCCAGTCTGATGGCACTGTCTCTGATTCCCAGACTTTGCCTAGTACCTCAGTTAATCTACAAACTAGTATGTCACCCCCATATTTAAACACCTCCGGAATAATTCCGTCGGGTCCTGCCGCTTTGCCTCGTTTCAAATTACAGATAGCTTTTCCGGTGGGGATTAGAGTGTTTCAATAAATAGGCCAAAATATACCAGAATGATTTCACAAACGTTCAGTAATATACATCTAACTGTTAAAACTACCACCTTCTTTGATCTATTACGAAGAGCAGATTGATATCAGTATTGAAGCCAGATTTTCAGAAAAACGTATTGCAAATGTAACGCAATTCAGGAGGATAATACCACTGATAATGTGTACGTCAAAATAAATTTTCTAATACTAAATTTCAGTTCAAAAGCATACGAAAAATATAACTTGTCATCAAACCACCATATCAACGGACTACGATTCTACAATTATAGTGATGATGTCCAATAAAATCACTTCGAAAGTGAAGTGGTCGAGAGTACTCTATGCTGGTCATATCTAGATACATTACCAAGCAGTATATTTTACTCTGCTCATGTTTCGAATTCATGAATAATCCCCACCCAAACATCAATGAAAACAAAGCATGTAGTTCAGCAAAGAGTTTCTTTTCGCCGGTGAATTCATTCACTTAGCTATACAGTCGCAATTATATATATACCTATTTGTATGTGTGTGTATATATTAGGCTTGTCCAATAAGAATAAAAATAAGTTAGGGTTATTGTTATCAAGACATTTTAAAAATGTGATGAGTATATCATTACTATTGTTCCCTTGAGTTCTCAGCGGAACATAAGACTTCAGCTGCACATCCCCACTTGCTTTTGTCTTTTGCTGTACTTTTCACCTCCATCCATCTTAGTCCATACTGTCTCAACTCCTCTTCACACGATCTCCTCCATGTTCCCATAGTTTTTCGTTGGTGATTCTTTCCGGGCCAGCCATCTGATCTTCAGTATAGAGCCAGCGAAGATTATTATTATATTATTATTGTATCCTTTAGTTCCTAGAGGAACATAGGGCTTCAGCTGCGCACCTCCATTGACTTCTGTTTTTTGACAACTTTTTCACCCTGCTCCAGGTCTGCCCACATGCTTTCATCTCCTCTTCACATGACCTCCTCCAAGTCACCCTTGGACGACCAACTCGCCGCCTCCCTTTCGGGTTCCACTCGAGGGCTTGTCTAGTGATGTCACTTGTTGGTTTCCTCAGCGTATGGCCAATCCATCTCCATTTCTTTCTGCCTATTTGTTTAACAATCGGTTCCTGATTGGTTCGCTCCCAGAGATCCCTGTTGCTGATCTTTTCTGGCCATCTGATCTTGAGTATTGAGCGGAGACAGTTGTTAATGAAGGTTTGAAGTTTGTTTGAGATGCTCTTTATGACTCGCCAAGTCTCTGATCCGTATAGTAGCACTGACTTCACATTGGAGTTGAAAATCCGGATCTTATTTTTGATGCTGAATGCTGTTGACCTCCACACAGATTTGAGAGTAATGAAAGCTTGTCTTGCTTTTCCGATTCTGGCTTTGATGTCCTCGTCAGTTCCGCCTGTAGTTGAGACGATGCTTCCCAGGTAGGTGAAGGAGGTTGTTTCTTTCAGGTTCTTCCCATTTATGCTTATTGTGGTCTGTTGTTGCTGTTGATGTTGGCTAGGAATCTTCATCATCTCTGTTTTATCTATGTTCACGTGAAGTCCTATCTTTGATGCTTCTTCTGCCAATTTGTTACTTTTCATTTGCATATCTTCCAGTTTATGGGAAATCAGATAAAGGTCTGCCACAGGCTATTGGAAATATTCTTTATGACCCGCCCGCCAAGTTTCTGATCCGTATAGAAGAACTGACTGACTTGACGTTCATATTGAAAATTCGACTGAATTTTGTTGTTGATGCTGGCTGAATGACGAAGATTTCCAGATTGGTTTCAGGTTAATGAATGTGTTTCTCGCCTTCCCGATTCTCGCTCGATTTGACATCCTCATCCGTTCCGACTGCCTGTAGTTGAGGAGGACAATGCTCCCTAGATAAGTGAATAAAGTGACCTCTTTCAAATCCCATCGTTGATGGTGATTTGCGCTGGATGTTGCTGCTGTTGTCATTGTTGTTGTTGGTTGGTTGGTTATTTTCATAACCTCCGTCTTGTCTCTGTGCACCTGGAGTCCTGTCTTCGCCGACTGCTTCTTCGACCAGTTTGTCGGTTTTCACTTGTAAGTCTTCAAATGTGATGAGTAGTCAGATTGTAATTAGGGGGTGGGGTGAAGAGTAGTAAGAAGGCAGTGGTTATGCGCTGTCAAAAAAACATAGTTATTAAGGCTAACTAAAAGGAACTGAATAAGTGTAATAGAGTTACGTAATAAGATGAATAGTTTAGTGAGTGAGTTGTGATTAGGATGTACATGGAAGCAAAGGAGAATATGGAGTTACGTAAGAGTTCTAAAAACTAAAATTGTTATAGTGAGTAAGAAAAAATCAAGCACACAAACATTAACTCAGTAGAAATCAATACGGTTGTCACCATGCTAGTAGAAGTGGTTGGATGGTTGTCTTATGTATGCATAACTCTGGATTCTTCAACTGAATGGCTAAGGCTTCAGCTTCACCTAATGTACACACACAAATAATTATATATAATTTCGACCGTACAGCTAAGTGAATGAATTCGCCGACGAAAAGAGACTCTTCGCTAAACTACGTATTTTTTAAAAATATTTCTAATATTTAGCATCCCCAATGACTTAACAATCGTCCAAATTGAAACCTTCAAAGATCATTGCATGAATAATTTCAACCTTTTTTTGTTTCTCTCACGTCATCTGGTGTTGTTGTTGTTTTTATTCTCATAGACATACAATATCGTTGGACTGAAGCATATTTCCCATTCACACATCCATCATGGGAATTAGAAATCAAAACAAAATCTGGTTACTCTGGTGATGGTGGCACTGAAGAATGGACTGAAATATTAGGATGTGGTATAATGCGTCAAGAATTATTAGAACGTTGTAAGTTTATCTTTATTTTTTTGATCGAAGTTGCTCGTTCCTATTAAGTGATCAAAAAGATGTGGTATTGAAAACTTGTAGTGTAACGGGGAAAACGAGAGATTTGGTAACATCGTATTCATACATTTTTAGCCATGTGTATGGTTGACTGGGTCAGTGGATAATAGACTGTTCTGATTGGTTGTTGATTCTCTGAAGGTTAAAACTGTCCTGATTGGTTGTTGAGCTTCTGTGAGTTAAAACTATCCTGATTGGTTGTTGTTTTCAGTGTTGGCTACCTCCTTCATCTGCATCTATCTACTGCTGATAATTCTTGTCGGTAGTAGCACACGCCATAGTAGCCCTATTATTTTTTTATATTTCTAGTTAAATTTAGTTTTATTGACAAAAATTCGAATAACACAATTTTTAAATATGCGCATACGCTTCTGAATATATTCAAGAACTTTTGTCTTGTCCTTTGAGGGATGTGTACTAGTCGAAACGCTTGATGGAGAACAAAACTTGTATATCTACCGGCCTACCTGTGACATGTTTGATTATGGTAACATCCAAAAATACGTATTTCATTTCAGCTGTCATTTTTCTACTGATGAAAATATACTTTCATTCTAGCAATTGTTAAGCATATTTTATTTTGGGACTCCAAGCCAACTTTATCATATTCGAGTATGGATTGTAGGGATTTGATTGATTGGTTACAGGATTTCATCATGAGATGACATGAGTTAGAGAACCATTGGAAAACCCGGAGTACTGGGCAGCTGTTTCGTCAGTCTAGTTTGGGACTCTCATCGGTACGCAACCAATGTCAGCTCATGATGATATCCTGTAACCAATCAATCAAATCCCTACAATCCAGTACTTGAATATCATGAGATGCTCACTGGTGACTGGCCCTATTCAGGTAGGCAGTTACCTGGGGTTCTAGTGGGAAGTTGTGACCAGTAGGGTAAGGCAGGTCGAGTGTGACGACAAATACTCTCCGGCTATGTCGTGAATTGACAGAAGTTGGAATTGATGGGCTGACCATTGGATTGGGTCCCATCGCCTTAATAGTCTACGAGGTCGTCTTGTAACCAAAAGGTCCTGGGTTAGAACCACAGTGGTGATGGGTGCGTACTGATAAAGAATCCCAAACTAGGCTGACAAACAGTTGTCCAGTACTCCTTGCTGGCTTTCCAGTGGTTCTTAAACCGATATCAGTCCATGATGAAATGCCGTAATCAACTTTTTCATTTCAAACACTCAGGAGTTATACTCACTAGGTTTGTTGCAATAGGAGGAGTGCAGCGGTCTGCTTAAAACTTGGACTACCAAAAACTTCCATACCTATTTTGCGTGTAATTTCTCTCACTCGCTTTGATTTAATTGGATCAGATATGACCTCTAATGGGTATTATTTACTCTTGCGTGTATATAAAATGTTAACAACCTGTTGATTCACAGATTTTCTACTAAACTTGAGAAAAGGGCCTGATCGTAGGTGACAACGTGTCTCCAGTACATGAGTTATGTTCTCTGGTCTAAAGATGCACTTCTGAACTTCTTATAGTTGTCTTTCAATCAAATGCCGTGGATTACTTAAAGGAGATAAAACAGAAATATCTTAGTGGGATTAGTTTGAGCTTCAGTACAGAGAGCATTATGTCACAGGATCTACGGTTAGTTAGTGTTTTTGATTGGACACTAGTTACTGACTAGTATCCAATCAAAAATATCCAATACACTCCTACAGGAGGTTAATCACGAGCCTGAATAGCTCAGTAGTAACGTCTCTGACTGCAGCACTGAGAGACGGGTTCAAATCTCACAAGGGACATGAATTCCTTCGAGCTTGCAGATACGCCTTGCTGATGAGTCAGTTCGTAAAAACAGAAGACAAGGGCCGGGCAAAAGATCGTTTATTAGGGAAATCAATACATATTTATAGATTTTCATGTACATTGTTATAGGTTATTGTAAGCAAACAAACATAGTCTTCTGATTGGTGGTTTCTCACTGAACGTTAATCTTTCATCTCTTTGTGTCCGTTTCTTGAAGTTCAGATTATCTGTCTGCAAATTGTATCCGCCTACGCAAAGTTTGCTGTGATTGGTTGTTGAATCAGTCTTTGTTCTTAATTTTTTCACGACCAATATTGGGGACGTAAATTACTGTCTACCAATTTTGGGTGGCAGCCAGCTCTCATCACAAGTTAATATTTTATTTGAAGATGCTGTATGAAGGGAAAATAGCATACAATAAACTTCGGTGAAAATGGTGTGCATTATAAAAAACACTGTCCACAGTAAAGCTATTATTATTATTATGATTGTCCGTAAGCTGTCATCTCTTCCTCACAAGACCTCTGCATAACGCTCTCATAACCACGTCAAGTTCTTCATTTCCCATTCGGGTTCCACTGGTGTGTCTGGCGCATGATGCCATTTGATGGTCTCCTTGGTGTGTATCCAATTCATCTTCATTTTCTTCTACATATTTGTTGGGAGGTAGTCCCTTGGTTGATTCGTTGCCCTCCAGAGTTTCTTGTTGCTCATTGCTTCCGGTGTGCCATCTGATCTTCAGGATATAGCGAAGGCAGAATATTCATTTAATGCTTCACAATAAATCGAATAGTGTGTAATCTTAAATACTTTCTTTTCTAATCTTGCTTAGCCACAGATAGCTTAGGTATCAAAAGTTTCATGGGCGATGGTTCGAGGACCTTCCCCGTCAGTATCTCTGGTACAACCAAGATCATGCTTGAGAACATTCGGGAAACATTGACTTATTCTATCAAACGTACATGAATTCTGGATTTGATTGTGTAGAGTACCTGATGATAACTCTGGTAATACAAGACCCTCCGACTGACAAAGACCCAGAAGACTTTTTTTCATATCGGCAATATAGCAAACTGTTTTTATAGAGTAACATTACGAAACTAAACTAAGCGACAAGTTCTTCCTGCTATGACATTCTGGAGTCAGCTGTGAAGGATTTGCGTGAAGGTGGTGTAGATCTGCTACCTGGAGATAAACTTTTCGATCTCGAGTATGCAGACGATATCGTCTTACTGTGTGATAGCATGCAGGCTGCCCGAATCGCACTTAACCAGTTGGCGATCAGTGTCTGTAAGTATGGTATGTGCTTTGCGCCGTCTAAGTGCAAAGTACTGTTACGTGATTGGCAGGAGCCTGTACCTGCACTCACTCTTGCGGGCGAACCGCTTAAAGTTGTTGATAAGTTTGTGTACCTGGGTAGTTGTGTGAGTGCTGGCGGAGGGGTGACGGACGAGATTTCCAACCGTATAATGAAGGCCAGGGTGGCATACATCAACTTGAGCCACCTATAGCGCCATTGCAACGTCAGTCTGGCTGTCAAAGGTCGGGTATACAATGCTTCGGTGCTGACGGGCACCTGTGAAGCCTGGCCTCTCCGAGCTGAGGATGTACGGCGACTCTGCATGTTCGATCATCGCTGTCTCCGCAGGATTGCTTGCGTTCGATGGATGGCATCATCGCGTGAGTAATTCTGAGGTTTGGCAGCGTGTGCTTGAACACGGTGGAGATCACCATTCATTGAGTGTAGTCATTTGGAAACACCGGCTCCGGTGGCTTGGACATGTGCTGCGAATGTCATCCCAGAGGCTTCCGTACAGGTCTCTGTTCGCTAGCCCTGGGATGGGATGGAAAAGGCGGAGAGATGGTCAGTCCATGACGTGGCGTCGTGGGATGAAGGATTTTCGTGCTAGATTAGCATCGGTTGGTGTGTCACGACTCCCTGGTTGGGGTCCGAGAGATAGCTCAAATCGATGGCTCGAAACGTTATCGGATGTGGCCAAGAATCGTAATCAATGGCGAGTGTGTTGCAATTTCCTTCTTTCTTCCCTTCCCGATGATAGTTAATGAATACTGTTTTGAACTTGTTAAGCACGACTGTTTTCCTTCCAGATGAATTTCTTTTTCCGTTCTCTACTTATATATATTTTCTCTTTTCCTTCTTTTTTCTTTTGATCTATGTTGTTTTATTATTACTGTGTGGCGCATCCTTCTTGGTGCCATATTGTACCAAGTTTTTATGATTTTAAATAAATAAAAATCTTCCTGCTAGTGACATTTGTCCGATGCATGTACTAATTACAGTTTGAAAAGTCTTCTGAATACAAGGTCGTCCGATTTTACACCATAACCATCTGGAGGTAAATGTGATATCTGATGCTTTATTGACTTGTAATCGTATTGAATAGCCATTTACATAGACATTTACATAAACATTTGGTGGTCAGGTGCATAGCCATGTAAAACATTCATAAGTCTAAGACACTTATCTACTGCTTGAGAGTAGGATCCTCTGTGGTAACTGAGGGAATACTGTCGTTAGTGTCATTGTGTGTGATACTGACAACTGCCCTCTTAGTGTCCAAAGTTGTTGTTCACCTCTACTTTTATGCCTATTCTTATATAGCTGGGATACCCAACAAAGTTGGTTATGCATTTGGTTTAGGCCTGGAGAGATGGGCTATGCAGTTGTATCAGATCCCGGATATTCGACTATTCTGGTCAAAAGATGAAGGCTTTTTGAATCAGTTTAGAACAGCTGATATTCATGCGCCAATCAAATACAAGGTAATTAACACTGTTTTACTATTATTATTATTGTCAATTTCTTCAGAATTGCACTTAGTTGTTAAGTTTACTACCCCTGAAAATTATGCTTAGTTGTAGAATTTATGGAAATTAGAAATAGATGATTAACTGTGCTGACCGTTATTTTAGCTGTCTTTACTAATGGTCTATGCGTTTGATGCTTTTTCCTTTAACAAAATATAATAAATATTGTTTTTCGTAGGGATTTTGTTTGATTTGGTTGGAGGATTTCATCAGGAGTTGACATTGGTTAAAGAACCATTGAAAAACCAGCAAGGAGTACTGGACAGCTGTTTGTCAGTACGCACCCACCGGGTTTCGAACCCAGGACCTTCTAGTTACAAGGCTAGCGAGCTCGTAGACTATTAAGGCACTGCGACCCGATCCATTGGCCAGCCCATGAATTCCAACTTCTGCCAATTCACGATATAGCCCCCCAGCACTAGCCAATGTCATCGTCGGTGTGAGTATTTATTTTCATGCTCGACCTGTTTTACCCTACTGGTCACAACTTCCCACTAGAACCAAGGTTATTACCTACTTGTTTGTGTCTTTCGACTAATGAATTATACAGAATTATTGTCATACAGCTGGATTAAGTTCCTGATTTTAGCGTTGTTTTGTTGAACACTGTAAAAGAGTCTTCTAACCTAGTCCATTTAAGTGACTTATATGAAATTTGATTGAAGTGTCGTCGCCTTTAACTTGGAATTTCGATGCACCGTCAAATTTTGACACATGTATCCAGTTGAATAATATACCATCATCATGTTATGTTTTCCTTGAGTTCCAAGTGAAATATACGGCTTCAACTGTACACCTCTACTTTATGCTATTCGCTGCGGTCCCCTTTAGCTGACTCTACGGTTGCCTATGGTCTCTTTGCACGATCTCCATGTCATCCTCGGAGCCACAGCGAACTAGTAGTTTCCCATTCAGGTTCCACTTAAGTAATGAACTGGCTAACGCGCGATTTCATTCGATGGTCTCTTCAGTGTGTGCTCAATGCGATTCCATTTTCTTAAATACTTCGATCTAGAATCAATGATCCAGTGTTTAGATCACTTTGGTCTAGCTAACCAGTAATATGGTTTCTCGCGAGTAATCTTCAACTGCTCATAACAATCAGTAATGCGTAACAAAAAGTGTAAACATGTGTACCAATCTAGACGATGCTGACTTATAGTACACTGAGTGTCTATCCATCGATAACTGGCATTATGAAGAACCCCAGCAAGACTATCTACACTTCTGTTTGACTCAATTCAACAGTCAGAAACGTCATGTATTGATGATGATGATGATGCCTTGTTTTCGTTTGATCACAATCAACCCTTTCTAACCTAATCCGAGATAATATTAATCCAAAAGGTTGGCGTCTTTGCAGGTATATCATATCACATGTCCCAGGCATCTCTAATGCTGGACGAACTTCCCCTTCTTGCCCTAAAATTGCACCTGATTATCTATATTCAGTCCCATGAAAATAGAACTGGAATAGTGGCTATTCACCTGTTTCCATTTTTTAATTTTTAATATCAACAGCTTTATTCCAAACGGTGTTTGTGGTACAGGTATGGAATTTTCAGCGTGCATTACAATATATTGCATCTAATTACCTCATAAATTTTATAAGATTTTTAAAATCAGTTATGATAAAAATATATTACAACTTGGAGTTGCGCATTACTGTATTTTTATAATATGGCTAACAACAATTAATAGTCATTGAATTTATGCAATGCGTGTACTTGCTCCCCATTGAAAGTATTCATATCAGAAGTAACATATTTAAATTATGCTATATATATATACTATTTATGAATGCAAAGCTGTTATTGAAATCCAAGCGAAAAAAAATTCATTCTCAACTGTTTACGTCGCCAGCACACAAACACGAACCCTTGCCTTCTATTTTAATTGTGTTCATAGACACGCGCTTGATTAGTCAAAATTAACTAGACAGGTTGTATATGGGGCTTTGAAACGCCAACACCGATAAAAATGTGAGTAACAGTCATTTTTCTATTGAGAAATCGTGACCAGCGGGGTACAGTAAGTCAGGTCATTTCAACGGGTTCCAATGGCTGAATGCTTTCCGAGTTCGCCGCCTCGTAACCATTTGGCCCTAGATCTAAACGCCCATGGGTGTCTACTACTGAAGAGTCCCAAACTAGGACGAAACAGTCACCCAGGTTTCTTAATAGTTCTCCAACCGGCGTCAAATCGCCATCAAACTTATGGAAAATTAATCTAAGTTTATGATAATTTGTTGACGTATAATAATAATAATTACTATTATTATTTTGAGCCTTTCGTAAATCCCATTGTTTTTGCCACTTTCTTCTTCTATGTAATATATTAGCCAGTCAGTATATTTCCTCCGTGTATACTGGATCTTTCATTTTGGTTAAATAAATCAGATATGTTACCGTCTTCATCATCCCCTGGTCCTGATGGTTCAGATAATGTAAAAGTAATCGAGAGGAATATTTTTGACATTGTACGCTCTGAAGCTGGTGATTTAATTGAACAAGTAAGATTGGAAGTTATATCCCATTTAAATCTATTAATTTGTTTAAATGTACAATGACTTTTTTTTCCGTTTTAAAAGAAAAAAGGCGCCACTTTGAATACAATAGTTACAATTGTTACAATGAAACGTTAGCTGGTGGTAGACAATTTCACTTTGTAGTGTACTTGTTGAGATATGTTATGATGTTTTCACACGGACACGGACACGCACACATACACAAATGTATCAAGTTGTTCATATATTAATTCAGTGTGTAGGTTTAGACATTTGATAAAATGAGGAAAAAACAGAAAATATGAAATGACTATAGCGTGGCCTAAATCTTTATCAACCTCATTCAACACACACGTGTCAGGTGATCTGCAGAGGAAAACTCAAAGAGGCATTTGAAGTGAATACATGAGTAAGACAAGGTTGCTTATTTATCACCAACGATGATATTCTTAATTGTGATGAACTGCATTTTGCGTCAGACTGTGCATGGGGAACGCGAAGACAGGAATACATTGGATAGATAAGAAGACTCTAGATGATCTGGATTTCGCGTGTAGATGATTTATATTTTAATGTCACACAAACTCAAGGACTTGTAGGGCTAAAAGCAACTAGCTGGTTGAAAAAGCAGTGAAGACAAGACTGCAAGTGGTCATAAAGAAGACGGAGGTCATAAAGATAACCAGCCAACACAACAACAACAACGAGCACCAATCGTCATCAGTCGGAGGAACTTAACATGGATTACTTCCTTCAGTTATCCGGTTAGGAAGCACGGTTTCGACCACAGTCGGAATGGATAAAGATGTTAAAGCCGGTGGTCAGAGTCGGAAAGGCAAGATATGCCTTCATCAACCTGAAACCAGTTTGAAAATCTTCTGCTTCAGTCAGTCAGTCAGCATAACGAACAAAATAGATTTGGATTTTCAACACCAATGTTAAGGCAGTCAGTCAGCTAGCTCTCTTATAGGGATCAGAAACTTGTCTTGTCATGTGTAGGATTTCCAACAAGTTGCTGCAGACTTTTATCAACAACTGTCTTCGCTGTGATAATGCACTCACCCGACCACTCGATCACTCACTCGACCAGCGTACTCTTACACCTCGCTTTGCCGATAGTGTAAGGTCGATAAAAAGCGGTAAGGTTTAGAGTAAGGCTAATAAACCTCACTGCTGTTACTGGAACTTCAAAGCTCAAGCTTGCAGCTCTATGTTCCACTCGAAAGAAGGCAAAAGGAATAAACAAGGCTATACAATAGTAAATTTATGCAGTTTTATTCTAAAATGTATTTAACTGAATATAGCAATAATAGATAATAGAGGTGGTAATAATTTTCATTCACTGATATAAGAATAAAACTTGTGCACTGTGGTAGAGTGTAATTCCATTATGGGTAAATTTTGTTTTGATAAAGTCTCACAGTGTTATACAGTAATGTTTACTGATGACGTTTCGAGCACAATTTATTGCTCATAATCATATCAAGGTAATCACACGACTTCCTAAATTCATTTATATAGTTCCATTGTTTTTCTCTTGATTTTCACTTGATTTGATTGGTAATAGTATTTTCCATATTTCAGGTATGAGTGACGAGTCATTCCTATTGCATGTGTTGGGTGTAGACTCGATGAACAAGGATTCAGTAATCAACCTCTCTCTCCACCTACCTAGATTACTTTTTAGAATTTTAACCCTCTCCCACCCTATTGTGTGGTTGTGTGTTAGCGCATGCATTGCAATTGCTGAGCTTTTTTCTAAATTACTTATCTTCTCGGGGTCAACCATTCTTACCTTAGCTAAATTCTTATGCTCTGACAATCTGACTACCCCTGACCTACTAGTTTGACCTATGTAGTTGACCTCACAGTCATTGCATGGTATTTTGTAAATAATATTATTTTGTCTAATTGGGTCAACTGGGTCCTTTAACCTACAGAGCTTGTCCCTGAGTGAGTTTGTAGGTTTAAATGCCACCCTAATTCCTATTTTATTCAGAATCCTACGTAGTGTCTCAGATGTCCCCTCTTTATATGGTATAACTGTGGATGACTTATATTCTTTCTTATTTATGTTATTATTACTAGTTTCACAATTATTTTTATTTTGTTTTTGGCCTTTAATGATCTTCCTAATGAATTTTATAGGATAGTTATTCAACACCAACGCTTCTTCTATCTGTTTTAATTCATCATTTAGATCTTTTTTTGTGCTACTTAGTGCCACTGCTCGGTTTGTTAAACATTTAACTAAGCCTGCCTTAACAGTTAAAGGATGAGACGAATTAAAGTCTAAATATCTATTAGAATGCGTTGGTTTTCTATAAACACTAGTGTGTAGTTTGCCTTCTTCTATTCTTTTTATCTTACAATCTAACATAGCTAATTCTCCTTGTTCATTTTCTGATTCAAATGTGAATTTTATTCCCTCAACTTGTGAGTTTATATGTGTCAAGAAGCTAGAGATGTGTTCTGTTTTTAACACTGTGAAAGTGTCATCCACATATCTCCACCATATTTTCGGAGTAGGGTTAAATGTATTGAGGGCACTATTTTCCCAGCTGTCCATAAATATGTCTGCTACGATAGGGGATATTGGTGATCCCATTGCTACACCTTCTGTTTGTCTATATATTTTGCCTTGGAACTTAAAGATAGTAGATGTGAGGCATAACTGAATCCCTAAAATAATTTCTTCAATGGACAGCTTTGTCCTATGACTGAGTTCCGGATCCGCAGTTAATTCTTTTTTAACTGCTTCTAAGGCCATATTAACTGGTATATTAGTATAAAGACTAGTTATATCAAAACTAACCATTGTTTCATCATTCGCTAGTTGAATGTCATTTAGTTTATTTTTCATCTCATATGAATTAGTTAATCTAGAGTTTGAACGATTTCTAATGGGGCATAGTATTAGAGCTGGTTTAAAAATCACCGATGTCATAAATAGTAGTGAATAGTGGTAATCACAAAAAAAAAGGTAGAAGCTAAAAAATATTTACGAACTTTGAGAAGCGTTTCCGCAGTATATTTGTGGAAATTTGGATGTATCCAAGGAGTATATGCAAGTAGTGATGAAATGTCAAAGGTGAAGGAAAAATGGGACAGATATAGTCAATAAATTCAAACATGTAACTGCATAGTTGTTTTCTTAAAGCCATTTTGCAGTTGTATGCTAGAGTGATCCCGAACTGGCTAATGATTGACAGTCAACAGGTTTTGGTTCTCTTAATTTTTAGGTGTTTGTAAAGTTGTTCTTCACTGACACTAACCCATCATCCTTTAAACTTTTAAGGACATCCGTAGGTTGCTGTTTAATTGACTCAGTCTTATCCTCTATACCGGCTAGTTTAGGGAACTCTTATTATCATTTCAAATGAAAGTCGACATTCTTCAACAGATACTTCCATTCTGTATCTTTGTCTAAATGCGTTATTATTGCAGCTATAGAGAATGATATCTCCAGAAAGATATTTCCTCTGAAATTCTGGTTTTCTTTTATTTAGGTATTAATTATTTCAGTTGGAGAAGCATTGAAAACCAGGGAGTACTGGACAGTTTGTTTTGTCTGTCTAGTTTACGACTCGTCGTCAGTACTCGCCTACTGGTGTTGGTGTTGTATTGCAAGACCTTCTGGTTATACAAGGAAAGCTCGTAGACTATTCAGCCACTGTGACCTGACTCAATGGCTAGCCCATGTATTCTGACTTCTACCGATCCGTGATTTTAGCACGACTGGCATCAGCCAGTTTTATCGCTGACGAGTATTTGTCTCCTCACTTATAACCGGATGTGGACTTCACTGTTCACGACTTCTGAGTAAAACTCCGGCAACTTCGTTCTGTTGTAGTCAGTCACTAGCTAGCATCAGATAAATTTTCAAGAAATAGTTTTTAGGGATTTGACTTGTTTTCATTTTAACCACTCATTGATATCAGTTAGACCTTTGAAGTCTAACTTCTGTCACTTCACAATTTTCGCAACACCCCCTCAGTGACTGACTACAGGATGAAGTCGTCTATGAGAAGTTATTACCTGTCCACTAAGTTGGGTATGATGAATAATACTCGCCCGTGACATTGTTCGGTTGTTGCACTGTACGTCGCAAATCGGTAGAAGGTTATAACTGATGGGGCATTGGATTTCGTCACAGTAATAGAGTGGTTCTAGGTTCGATCCCCACTAGGGCGGGGTCATGAGTGCGTACGGCCGATGACTCCAAAACTCGACCAAAACAGTTGCCAAGTACTCCCTACTAGTTTCCACTGGTTCTCTAATTGATATCAATCCGTGGTCAAATTTGAAACAAACCAAATCTCTACAAACTAACTTTTGAATATCGATCATATAACAGGCTGCAAGTCGTCCACCACGAGTAATTCCTAGGATGATTAGACATTCGGCGCATTTTTATCAACAGATGTAAGGCTGTGTTTCTATTTCCTATAATTACCAAGGAACAGTCAGATTTACCTTACATGGTCCACCATCCTGCCTAAATGTCCTTGAAATAGCAGCATACCTATCGGGAAAATGGTGTTATAAAATACACAATTTTTGTGATATTAATAAATTCTAGCAAGTGAGTATCCTTCACTTAGGACTTTGAACATGTAATTTCAAAAGCTTTACGACATCTTGATGTATCTAACCGGTAAATACTTTTTCTAAGGAACATCTAGCTTTGATGAAATTTTTTTTCCGTACGGAGTATTTTATGACCGAAGGTGACAATATTTAAAGCAATGTTTTCTTACTACTAACACTGTAGATAAGTAGCTTTGGTGTTTTGAAGAAAATAGTTTCCTAAAAGAAAAGACTGTAGTAAATGAGTTTTCATGTGAATATGTAAATATGAATGAGGGCAACTATGAGAAACTTCATGGAGAAGATTTCTTGCCTGGACTGTCTATTTTGTGTTTATAAATTCAATAAATAATTGATTGTTAATTCCTCTCAATCGGTCTTTGTTTACGTGTTTTTACGTCTTTCTCATCCAGATTCGTTTAGTGGATTCCTACACTGATTCAAAAACAGGACGACAAAGTCTTTGTTATCGTTTCATCTATCGTGATCAACATAAAACACTGACAATGGATGAAGTACGACCATTGCATGAAGCTATTGGTCAAGTTCTAGCGGATAAACTGAATCTGTCGATCCGTTAGTCTCCTACAATTTCGATGGTGACATAGTTATTCTTTATTTCACTATAACCCCTCCCTCCCTACTGATTATTGGTTGATTATATAATAATAATAATCATAATAACCGAAAATGGGGACAATAACGAGAATGATAGAAGTTACTGCCATCATTTATTGTACATATATATTTTTATTTTGTTCATATTTGCCTTCTTCTGCGAGAGATCATTTCCCTGTGTAGTGGAACAACTCCTTTCCTTTGCCTTCCCCCTCCGCCCGAAATACAATTCATCCATGGCTTGTTGTTTGACACACAGCTGATATTTATGTGAATGTGTTATTGATTAATTCGGGAAGTATTGTTTCTGTGACCAAATAGTGTTCTTTTTTTCATTTCTCTGCTAACTTGTGGATATTCATCTTCACACATATATACATGCCTATGTACACTTGATTTTTGTCTTCATTGTGCCTAGTATGCATGCATATGCTTCTTTGTGATGAGTGTTTCTTGTTCGTCACAGAGATTGTACATTATTATTATTATTACTGCTATTATTTCAGTTACAATATTACAGTTATACTAGAAATATTATGGCTTTTTCTCTGTTGGTATTGTCTACTACTACGAAAAGAAGACGAAGAAACACAATACGAAGGGCCGGGCGTGTTGGCGTATGCTTAGAATCTAGCTACTTGGAGGCCAGGGATTTTCGGTATATGGATGCTGATTGTTGACCGTGCGTCCACACTAATCATGGCGGCGATATGGATGACCTGTTGGAAGTGGGACGGACCGGCCCAGGGAAGAAACCCAACAGGCAAAAGTCCCTCGTGGTGCAGTCACGAGAAAGCGTCTGTGAGTGGTGGACATGCAGACCGATCGGTTGGCGCGTGGACTCCGTCTGTAAAGTTGACTTAGACAGTCCACCCTCCGAAAGGTCATACATATCAGCACCAAGCTTAGTGTGGACTCCCGGTCAACAATGAGCACCAGAAATTCATAGCCTCCAAGTAGCTAGATTCCAAGCGTACGCAACCACCAGGTACAACCTTTCCTATTGCGCATTTTTTTTCGTATCCCATGTTTTGCCGCAATACTCGTCAATTTCCTCTCTTCCACTTCAAATCTATTGCCCCCCCCCATTTAATATTTTTGTTCCGAAGAACGTCTCTTGATACACTACTGATAAATCTTGTCATTAGCGCACACAGTACGTTATCACGCACATATTTTTGCCTTTGGTGAGTAAAATGTGGTCATTTCTGTAGTAAAACGGAGTATACATATATGTGTATATTCCCTTCTTCTCATCGCAATCAGTACATTGATTACATTCTAGCAGTTGATCCGAGGCTACCTGTCTATCGCCCTCAACTATCTACCAGCAGTCGGAATAATATTGAATGTATGTATAAGCAATACAGCTCTAAAATTAATGGAGAAGATTTGTAGCTTGTGTGGATGAAATTGTATTAGTTGTGTTCTCTGAGCTGGTTGGTGGTTTAATTGCGAAGCTTTTGTCGTCCACCTACCTTCTAGACAACATAGTCAGTAGGGTTTCAATGTTAAATGGACTAATTTAAACTCGCCATGAATGATGATATAATTTTATCTCCTGACATACACCCTTTGTCGTGACTGGTTGCCTGTTAATTGACGTCTCTTTTGATCACATTTTAATTGACTTGGAACTCTAACTCTCTTGTCATGTGATTTTGATGTGGTTGTGTTCTCTGAGCTGGATGGTTAATTTGCGAAGCTTTCATCGCCCTACTAGGTGACATCTTCAGCGCATACTTCAATTTGAAGTCAGCTGTTAAATTTCTACACGAGTTTATTAATCATCTCTCTTGGTAAGTGACCTTGAACGTGATTGGTTATTTTTGTGTTTTCACACCTTTTAGGTTACTTGTATTGGAACTGATTGTTTCTTTGACCCTTTGTGTGTGAGGTTTCTTTCTTATCGGTTGATAAGTTTTGTCTATCTCTATGTGTCTATTGATTGATGATTCACTGGAATACCAGGCAGGCTTTTAAAAATTCTCTAGCATTCTTGTTGTTTCTTCTGTCTAATATTTGAACGTTGTCCCAGTTCTAATTGATGTCCGTGGTTGTCTGTATGTAGTGATATGAGGGAGTGGATATCATGTCTTTTGACTGCTAGCTTATGTTTATGGATACGAAGACGAAGGGGACGTCCACTTTGGCCAATGTAGTGTTTTTCGCAGTTGTTACAATTTATTTTGTAGATAATGTTGGTTTTATCTTCTTTCGTTGTTGAGTCTTTTGGTCGAAATAGAGCCAGTTGGGTGTAGTGATTTTATTGGTTTGTGTGCAACGTCAATTCCTGAAGGTTTGAAAAGTCTTGTAGTGATTTCTGAGATATCCTTTATATATGGTAAGGCGATTTTCTTTGTGCTTTCCTTGGTGGCCTTTGCTTTGGTAGGTTGGCTTGGGGCTATATGTCTTTTGATGAAATTTCGTGGATATCCATTCTTTTGGAAGACGTCCATGAGATATTTTTCTTCAATTTTCCTTAAGGTGGGAGTGCTGCAATGAGTCCTTGCCCTCTTGAATAGTGTTTGTATACAACTCCTTTTTTGTGTGTTGCTGGTCTGTGTGAGTTGATTTGCTATAAACTTGAGTTTCTAATTCCCCTGTGGTTGTTGTCATGTGATTTACGTTTTATTAGCTTGTAAATTTGGTTTATAGAGTTAATGTGTTTGTTAATCGCTAGCTGATTCACTTGAGTACTAGGCTTCTAAGAATTTCATGACTGCAGTTTTGGTGTTTCCTCATAGAATTATATCTTACAACATATTTCCAATCCAATAATCAAATATACGAACAGATAAGAGGAACACCAACGGGATCATCGCCCATATCAGGATTAATAGCTGAAAAGCAGTTATGCAAAGATTGGAATTATTAGCCCTACCTATATAATTAAAGCAAAAGTATACATACATTACGTTGATGATACATTTGTAATAATTAAAAGAAATGATTTTGAATATATCCACAAATTAATAAACAAAATATTTGAGGACATTAAATTCACCGCAGGAGAAGAAGAATTAGATAACAAAATCCCATTCTTCTTAGATGTCTTAATCAAGAGAACTAACACAGGAAATTTAGAAACACAAGTATACAGAAAATCAACGCCGACACACAGACCAAATACTCAACTATAGTAGGAATAACCCAATTACGCACTCACAAAAGAAACTGTGTGCAGACGTTGTTTAAAAGAATTCAAACACATTGTATCACTACTTCGGTGTTTAAGAGAATAGAAGAATAATACCTACTAACTGTCCTCAAAAAGAATGGATACCCTCATAATTTCATCAAAAAGTGTTTAAAATCGAGTCACAACACCAAAGAGGGAAAATCAATCGACGAGGCTATAAAGTTACATAGACTGAGATGGCTAGGTCACGTGCTGCGCATGCCTAACCACCGCCTCCTCCGACGGGCATTGCTAGCTGATATAGGTACAGGTTGGAAAAGGGTAAGTGGTGGCCAAACAAAAACATGGCATCAACCCATGAAATCCTTGACAGTTAAACTGAGTCGTCAGGTAGGGAGATGCAGACTCCCGGGTTGGGGCCCTCGGGACTGACTCTAGGAATCAATGGCTGGAGACAATAGGTGACATGGCTCAAAATCGTTGTCAATGGCCAGCGCAGATGTATTCAGTCTCTGTAATCTTTCATATTCCTTTCTACCATTACCCATTCTGTTTCACTCTTATACTTGTCAAACTCTATTGATTCTCTTCACTCATCTTCTTGTCTACCTTTGTGTGGTATTTGGAACGTGGCAACTCGAACTGGTGCACTTCGGTGCAAGTTCTATGTTGAATCCAGACAGACAGACAACACCAACAAGAAAACCATCATCAAAGACTACAAGCAAAATTCATCTTACCATTGATATAAGAAAAATATCTCTGAAATAACAGCTCGAATAATGAGACCATCTGAAGTAGATATATCACACAAACTAGCACAATCACTTCATCCGATATTGTGCAAACCGAAGGAAGGATTCCACAGGAAAATAAGATAAAATTAACACCATTTACAAAACAAATTGTGTATGAACTGCAATAAACATTGCATCTGTCAAAGTGGCCGTCACCTTCGAATCCGAATCCGAGAACACAAATTAGCTGTAAATAGACATGATATATATATTCTTTCATATCAATCAATGTATGTGGATAATTATGGACACGAATTTGATCGGGATAATGTAGAAATTTTAAATAAAAGGAGAAACACCAAAACTGGAATCAGAGAATTCTTTAGAAACCTAGTACTCAAGTGAGTCAGCCAGCGATTAACAAACACATTACCTCTCTATAGACCAAATTTACCAGCTGCTAAAAAGTAAATCACATGACAAAAGAGTTCGAATTCCAATTCAATAAAACTGTGATCAATAAAGACGTCAATTAACAAGTAAACAGTCACGACAAAGGGTGTATGTCAGGAGATACAATTATATCATCATTCATGGCGAATTTAAATTAGTCCATTTAACATTGAAACCCTACTGACTATGTTGTCCAGATTGTGGACAACGAAAGCTTCTCAATTAAATCACCAGCTAGCTCAGAGTACACAACTAATTCAATATAAGCTGCTGGAAAATCATCTAAATATGCAGTCCTTCACAAAATAAACACATGCATCATAAGCTGTTATAATATTTAGCAGACAAAAGCTTTGTGATCCCTTTTTTCAATTCTCTAGGACATTATTACGTCAATAAAAGCCATTTCATAGGGAATAAGCTTCATTTTCCCTATCAAATTTAAAGCCTCAACTTACAAATCTCACCAGTAGAGAAAGTAGGTTGTCAAAACTACTATTTCCGTTATCATTCACCACTGACTAGTGATTTATTATGGGAAAATATCGATTGCTTATGCGAATCTGTTTTCCCAAAAACGCTATTCACAGGTACAGTGAGGTGACGTTAATACCTTGTTTTAAAACAGTGATTCCGTAGCTCCAGACAGGCTTTTTTTAAACTCATTCTTTCTGTTCTGAGTGCTACATAGGGCTTTGTGCTTCAAGGTTATGATGGCTGTTGTGTTCTGTTTACAGGTGGGATTACCAGCCCGATGCCATACACACCTCACCTCTTTTCCGAACGTACTACCGACGAGGTTTCGGGATGCGTCACCTCTGAATCAAACCTAGACGTAGTTGGCGAGGAGGCTGCTAGCCGAGTAACTGAATGGTGGGAAAGCTCTTGTGATCAAAAGATCTCGGGTTCAATCGCTGGCGGTAGGGTCAGGAATGTTTACTACTGAAAGGCCTCAAATGAAGATGAAACAGCTATCCAATACTCCCTGATGGCTTTCCTTGGTCTCGAAACTGATGTCAGTTCGTCATCTAACTTGAAATTAAACTTCTGCAAACTAACACTTTTAAAAACAAAGTAAATGTATTAAGACAAACAAAGTATTAACATACGTGGATAACGTTTAAGTGAAGGTGTTTTATCGACGTGTCAGTAAAAAGCATTGTAGTGATGTTCTGTGGATAGTAGAATTCCTTAAATAT